TCTTATTGGCCTAGTGGAGGTAATTGGCAGTAGGCGGTCTCTCAAGTACCCAGATCGATTGTGTGTCTGTTGGTTATTTTAAATGCTTGTATTTGTAGTTCTTGTGTTTCCCTTCCCCTCTCGATTGTGTGTCTGTTGGTTATTTTAAATGCTTGTATTTGTAGTTCTTGTGTTTCCCTTCACCTCTTGGGTTTGTGAGCCACCCTGAGTCCCGCTGGGAATAGGGCGGCATATAAATAAAACGAAACCTGAAACCTGAGTAACCTGAGAATAGGTAGCTTGCGCACTCAGTTATCCAAACCTTAATTTGCTTAATAAGGTACACTTAAATTATGATTGGAATTCTTCTGAATGAAATGTTGTCTGGACGGATGGTTATTATATAGCACTGATTGAAGGGCTTGTAACTCCTAGCTGGGTCATCGTTTTTCTGCCTTACTTCAAAAGCATTTTAGCCATCTTTCTGTTGCACCTCCCTGGGTAGGCAAATAAAAAACACCTGCAGAGATAAAGAGAAGATAAAGAGAGATAAAGAGAGCTTGAAAAGTTCTGTAAGGCTAAATTTCCAATCTGCTGTGAATTTGAATGCATGGTTAGAAAAACCCAATTCAGAATGTGAAGCGAAAAATCAACGTTCCCGTTTCTTCTTTCATTTTCTGCTTGCTGCTTTCATGGCACATGGCAGAAGATACAGAAGAATTAAAACTCAGACCACACGCCTTCTGAATAATTTTTATCCCAGAGCTATAATTGCACTCAACAATGAACTAAAGGGTCACCATCAGTGAGCTGTTGGACAGCGTTACTTGGTCTGTTGCGTGGATGCTTGGGTGGTTTAGGGGTGGGGAATTTTTGGAGGGTGGGTGTTTGGGGCTGTCGAGTGTTGGGCCTGGACTCTGGGTGGGGTTATGTGAATTTCATTGTATGGGTATACTGTGTATATACGTACAATGACAATAAAGTATTCTATTTATTTGCTTAATTAATATGCCACTCATCTCACTCTCCAGAATGACTCTGTGGGGTTGGCCTTAGAGTTACAAAGATGTGCTTTTCTGTCCTCGCAGGCGCAACCTGACCAAATTGTCCCTGATCTTCAGCCACATGCTGGCAGAACTGAAAGGCATCTTCCCAAATGGACTCTTCCAAGGAGACACTTTCCGAATCACGAAGGCCGATGCAGCCGAGTTTTGGAGAAGAGCCTTCGAGGAGAAGTAAGTACAATTTCCAGAATAAGCTGCTAGACTTCTGGCAATTCTTCAGGCAACACATAACTGGAGGGGTTCGTCTCTTGTGGTTTTGCCACATCCAACATATGTGAGATGGAACCACAGGTAGGTATTCAGCAGGTTCTGACCACTTCTGGAGAACCGGTAGCGGAGGTTTTGAGTAGTTCGGAGAACTGGCAAATGCCACCTCTAGCTGGCTCCACCCCCATCTATTCTCTACATCCCGAATCCCAGCTGATTGGGAGGAAATGGGGATTTTGCAGTATCCTTCCCCTGCCACACCCACCAAGCCACACTCATAGGACCGGTAGTAAAAAATTTTGAATGCCACCACTGGATGGAACGCCAAAACTATTGGACTGTAAAGGCTGGGTGAAGCCATTCAAATAATTCTTTGAATTTATCTGACCGTAGCCCCCACCCTTATAGGATTAAAATACACACACACACACACACACACACACATGACAATCTTCAGCTTTGCCCTTTTCCTTGATATAGAAGGGTTGACACTGGGGAGAAAATGTGCTCGTGGTTGATTTGTTGAGGAATTGATGTTTCACTTGGCTTCAACAGGCTAGACTGCCATAACTTGAGATGTTTATCTTTGGAGATTAATTTTGATTGCATTCCAGATTCAAGTTTTTCCCACATGAAATATGGGCGGCGTATCTGCAAATTAAGACTCATGAAATATGTGCACTTCATAACCTTGCCTGCAAGCAGTTGGTCCTCCTTCGTTGCTTCCTTCCTTTAGTATCTCACAACAGTTACTTAAATGTCAGAGATCTTATTGAGATGCAGTTATGTGACATTCCTTTTATACTGCTGTTAACGTCGGTAGCTGCTTTAACCAGTTATTGGACAAATTAAGGATTATAGCTTTCAGTCATTGTACATTGTTTCTCTCAAAGCGGTTCATTTTTGGAACAAATGTGCCTGCATTAGTGTACTTCNTGATGACGTCAGCTACGCGGTTTCGTCGAGCGCGCTTTAGTCGAACACGGTTTTGTGGTGGAACCAGTTTTGATCCCTAGGACTTTTATTTTATGACTTTGCTGAATAACATTGGAAACGATATATCTGCTTTCTACAGCCTTGGATGCTGTTGGTCCCACCAGGCTTCAGAAGTTACGGGTGCTCCATCCCTGGAGGATTTTAAGAAGAGATTGGACAGCCACTTGTCCGAAATAGAATAGAAATAGAATAGCGGAGTTGGAAGGGACCTTGGAGGTCATCTAATCCAACCCCCAGCCCAAGCAGGAGTCCCTACACCATTCCTGACAAATGGCAATCCAGTCTCTTTATCAAAGTGTGGTGACAAATATATAAAGAATTCTGGGAGTCGAAGTCCACAAGTCTTAAAGTGGGCAAGGTTGGAGACCCCCGGTCTGGAGAACATAAAATTTGGAGGTCAGGATATAGCCGTGTTAGGTACCAAGGTGGAATGGGAGGATTAGAAACAAATATATTGTTGGGTTGGGTTTTTTTTTTTAAATGTTAAGGGACGTTCCATGGTTAAGTGTTTATTTTTACGCTGCTTCATGTACCTGCTCTGAATTTTATGCCAGTGCATTGGGGAAATTAATTCACGAAATCAAGAGTAATGCTGGATAGTTCTTTATATAGGCACTTGATGGTGACATAGGATGCTCCAACACTGGAAGATTTTAAGATGTTGGATAACCATTTGCCTGAAGTGGTGTAGGGTTTTCTGCCTAAGCAGGGGGTTGGACTAGAGGACCTCCAAGGTCCCTTCCAAGTCTGTTATTATATATTATAACAATAATAGTTACTTATATCTGTATGAGATGTATACTCTGTTTAGTTTTCTGTACTTCTCTAGAAAGTAACATATTCCATGCTGTTGATTGGAGCAAAGTAGAACTTCAAATTGTGTGTTGAAAAGCTGAATTGAGAGTATAGTTGTCCCTTTATTTTATTTTTTTTTACAAAATTGATTACCATGGGAAGCAGACTCTGAAGCTGCAGGAAGTATGCATGTCAACATATGGTTCTTAAATAGGACTACTCAGCATTCCTGAGTGGTGAATTCACAATAGCTGTAGCTTCCGTGCAATAGGCTCTTACTGGGAGGCCAGGCACCAATTTAACCACCTTGGTGGAATCTGTTAGTTGGATCAGAGTTGAAAAGCACATGGCTCACAGGTGGCATCCTTCTGGCCAGGCCTGAGTTTTTAAGAAATGCACTGTCTATATATTTGATCTTTCATTGTGAAAGCAAAGCCGAAGGATTTACGGTGGAGCAAAGTTCCAGAGTTAAAGCTTCAGTAAATGTTTACGGTAAAATTACAAGCTCCAGCTAGTTACTTTCCACCCACTCATCATATTTATGGCTACTTCATTCCACTTCTCAAACCGACCCACGGGTCAGGGTTTGGGGACCTCTGAATTAAACAACCTTCTAATTTGGGACACGATCAGAAAGGTCGGCACTTTGGCGGTTCGAATCCTTCAGCTTTGCAGGATAACCGCAGGCTGAATAAGAAACCTCCCTGAGAGGCTCATGACTTTGCTATCTGTCTCCCTTCCTGTTCTGTTCTCCTTTTCTAGGCTTCCCAAGAGCAGGAAGCAAACTCCTTGTCCCTTTTACGAATTGACTGTGAATTCTACTCATTCACATCCAGAGAAGACTTTTCAAGGGAGGATTTACAGTCACAGACCTTATCTGGCTTGGAGAGCTGCCAGGTCGATATCTGCAGAAGTTGGCAAGGAGTCTTGGAGAGTCACGAACCCATTAAGCGAACTAATGGTCTCCTGCAAACTCCACTCTCCTTCTGCTCCTCTTTCATTTCCTCTGGGAGGGGCCATTCATTGTCCACCTGTGGCCTTACTCCCAAGTCGACCCCTCTTCTTTTTGTCTGGCAACTCTGCGCATGCGCACCCTGGGAACAGGCTCCAGCTGTTCCTCTGCCTCACTGATGTCTGATTCTGAAGGCAGCTGATTACTGGCATACGTCCCTGGACCTCTCTCTGCCCCTGACACAGAGCCCTCATCGGAGCCTTCCCCAGACTCCAGGACTGGCCCATCTTCCTCCCCAACCTCCTCACTGTCCGAATCCACAGCAGTAGGAAGGATAGGAGGAAGTAAAGCTAGGATGTTCGCCTGGCCCCCCTGACCCAGAGAGGCGCATGCTGCTTTTCTTCACAAGCTTCTAAAACTATTTGAAAAGGCTGTGATTAAATGTTTCCATTTGGTTAGGCTCAAGTCAAATTTCGGCATTGAGAGGAAGATGGGGCTACAAGACGAGGGGGGAGACTCTGAATATTAATAGCTTTAGCCTACATCTTCAGCAATATCACTACACCTTCTCTGTCAAATTGTATTGAGATCCTAAAAGGATTTGGATTTGG